AAAGTGCTAAAATAAATCAGTCTACGGCGAAGTCTTAAAGCTGCCTAATCTATTGTGCACCTGATTATTAATCCTCAAAGTCACGACTTGCAACAGTTGTGGCTGTATAAATGACCAAAAAGACGGTTTGCGAAGTTACGGTACACCCCTGTACGGAGTGAACCGTAATCCAAATTACAGTCGCGAGCCTGGTAACAAAATTGACAGGGCGCACTTCTAACATTTCCTGTAGGTTTTTATAACAGTGTTCTGCAAATTCTTTGCACCTGCAACTACCAGTTTTTCACCGCGTCTATTTTTTAACAAAAGCGTTCGTTGTTGTTGTTGTGACGAAATCTTTTCTCCGTTGCTTCTTCCTCAATCCTTCCCTGACCCTATCCTTGAAATTTCTACCCTACCCACTCTACTAGACCGCTTCCCACGGATCACACAAATATAAAGCGCCCTATAGCCTTCATCGTCCCTAGCCTAGCCCTTGGCGCGACTCTTTGAGCGGCCCTTTGCGGCGCGGCCCTGCTCGGCTCCTTTAACGCCGCTTGGACACGCACGCCGCACGCGCCTCATTGTCAGCCGAGCAGGCTGATTGATGTATGGCACCCGGCCCACCGCCTCGGCCACCGCGGCCGCGTATCGTACGCCGTGCATCGCGGCCAATCAGACTCACGCCGAGCGCGTCTAACGAGCGGGCGGACGGGCGGACGGGCAGGGACACCCACACACATATGGACCAGCAAAGCAACAGACAGAGAGGCAAATTATGAAGAAAAAAATTAAAAAGAAAAAAAAAATGACGCGTCCGCCGATGTCGGGTGCTGCGGCTGGAGAGGAATAAATAAAACAAGCAATAAGTGAAGGGTGCAGCGGCGGCGGCGGCCTGGAAACGGTCGGTGCATCTCGGCCTGCTTTATCAAACACTCATTAGGGCTCCGCTTACGCTTGCTTACGCTTACCAACCACCATGCCACCATATACCATAGGGGGCGGGCCACCACGGTGCGTTACCTGCAACAGACAAAACGGGGGGCGTCAGTCAGGGTGCCTCCTCATCAGAATGCAGTGCGCAGGGCCCTATAACAGTGCAGCCCAGTTGTGTGCGGAGCGCTCACGGTACATGGGAGTTCTTCTGCAGTTTGCGATGCAGTATGAGCTGCATTGTAATAAGCGTCCATCATCAACTTCATCGCGGTCTATCCGAAAATAGCGACATGATGCTATAGGAAATGGAGGCCTGCTTCTGCTCGTGAGGAAAATGCTACGGGGGAGGCTTTCTGTCGTGATGCACTTGGGTCGTGAGGGACGAATCAGAGGCGAGGGGAAACCAGAAACGGCGGGAGGGTGACACGACAGTGCAGCAGGGGGCCTGTCAAGTTGAGCGCGACTGCCAACCATTACCCGCCTAATGCTAGGTGCAGCGGTGCAGCCGAACGCACTCGCTGCACCACAGCAGGGAAAGTGACGAGCTGCAATGCCAATCGCTTTGCTTCAAACACGATTTTTGCGAATTTCGAAAAACTGTTTCATCCTCAGTTTTGGCGTTACGGTCTAGTCCTCAGGGACAAGAGGTCGCCCCGGCAGCACCGGGACCGTCACGCGTCACGCTGCCCAGCGCCCTATAGGTCCCGTGCTTCCTCAACCGTGTCTCTCCAGACACTGAAAAGAAAAACAACAACAACAAAAACCAAAAAACGCGACACCCACTCGCGGTCACGTCCTCAAATGTAAATGTCGTCTGCTGTTTTTATTATGGCCCCACGGCGGGGTCGGCCGGCGGGGCGGGGCGGACCCGCGCAGCGCAGCAGCAGCAGCCTAGGATTAGAGAGCCCGCGAGACGGACCAGGCGTTACACATCGATTAAGTGTTATCGATCCAATCGAAACGTTACACGGGCCCCGCCGTTTTACGAGGCTGCCGCGTTGCCGGACCGGAGTGGTCACCTGCGACCCTCACCCAGAAAAACAAAAGGTGACGCAGCGCAAGCGAAATTAGAATGCCCGACGCGTCCTCTTCTCTGAGCGAGAGAAGTTCTCACCAAACGTCAAACTGCACACCAGAGAGTCCCCCCTGAAGGCTGGCCCTCAAGGCTGGCCGGCTGGCCTGGTCTGCACCGCTCGCGGGAGGATGAGGATGGCCCGGTCCTCGCTCGGCTGGGCACGGCAGGGCGCTGCAGGCCCCGTCCCACCCACTATTGGGCAAAGTGACCCCCGCTATTGAGCAGCCTAGTCGGGCCGGCCCAGGCCGCGCACCAGACGCTGCCCAGAGAACGGTCTCCATAAGGACTCTGCCAAAGGCCGCCGCGCTGCTCGGGCTTTCGACGCGCCCACCCAGTAACAGCGGCCTCCAAAAAAACTAACGGGGTCAGAAGAAGGACCATTATTTCAGCTTTAAAACATTATTTCCCTCTGCGGGTCTTAATGTCCGGAGAGTGTCAGCTGCGCAAGACAGTGCTGATCCTAGCGGGGGGCTCGAGGGGCTTCGCCTCGAGGGGATTAGGAGGAGGCCGAGGAGTCAGCCGCATAGCGGGGGCCCCGCCTGGCTCAAGTCGACACGGGGGGCGCAGGAGTGCAAAACCTATCGGATGCGACGCGACGCTTGCGGTGAATGACACGCAAGTCTCTCTTTAGCCCGGTGGGGCCTAAGTCGGCGGTCAGGAGGACACATGATTAGCGAGCCTCGCCGCGAGGGACTGAGTGGCTCTATCGCGCACGTCCTTGCCGCAAGGCCATACAGGCAGGTGGGGCCGTCAGGCAAAAATGCGAAATGACGGGTTCGAAACCATCGGGATAATTTCGGCACTATGACACAAGGAGGCGATCGCGGAGGCGATACTCCTGCGGAGCGGGGGAGAGAGGGGGGGGGGCAAAGTACAAGTGCCTGCCACACAGCGCTTTGACGTTTGACGCACTAGGCAATATCTTGCTCCGACACTCGCGGTGGGTGGTGAGTGAGTAAGCTACGCGGCGGCGGCGGTCGCCATGTGCCCCCCTCCACCTCCTCCCCATACACACAGGCCGTACAGTAGCCGAGCTGCTCCGCTGATTGAAAAGTTGAGCTGGCCCACTCCTAATAGGAAGCGAGAGGCGGACGGTATTACTGCACAGCGGGTAAACCGGTTTTCGGACGCGACAGCTTTGTTAAAATAGTTAAGGAGTGTTTTTATTTTATTTTCCTCTCTCTCTTTCCTTTCAATGTGTACATACTACAGCATGCGATATAATGCCATTACCGCGCCGAGTGCAACGCGTGAGCGCAGGGCAATCAGCTGACGAGTCCGCGGTGTGACCGGCGCGTCCAGCGTCCCTTGCGCGCGCGTACGTACTCGGCGCGGGGCACGCACAGCACAGCGCAGCCCGTGACGTGGCAGCCGGGGGCTCGTCTTACCTTTTTCAGGTGCTTGTTGACCCATTTCGTGAAGGTCTTCTTCTGGATCGCGTCTCGTTCGTCTGCAACAACAAAAACACTGGCCGTTAGGAGGATATGGCGGTTGCAGGCATAAAGGGTCAGCAAAGCCGCAGTCCCGCGCGCGCTTCACTCCTGAAGTCTGGAGGAGCCTGCCGGGGCCGGGGCACAGAGAGGCGCTGCGCCGCTGCGGGGGCCGCGCCGCGCGCGTCCTGCCCTGGCAGCACTCACTGAGCCGGACGGCGACGGCGAGCCCGAGGCGGAACAGCCAGAGGATGGCGACCGTCATGAGCGAGACCAAAGACAGGTAGAGGACGACGGGGAAAGGCTCCTGCTGCTGCTGCCGGAGCAGCCGCTCCTCCAGGGCGTCGCCATGCATGCTGCTGCTGCTGCCGGCCGGCCGGGCGCCAGCCCCAAACTGGACCAACAGCAGAGCGACCACGACCACCACCACCCGGGCCCGGGCCGGCACGGCACCCGACAGCAAACGGCACGCCGCCGATCAAGACGATGCAAATGTGACCCGGCCGTGGCCGGGGGCGCTGACACACACACAAACACACTCTCACACACACACGAACGAACGCGCACATAAACACACACACTCCCGCACAGGTGTTCGCGGGCCGGAGCGGGGCCGGCCGCCTCCCATCAGGGCTCCGATAGGGTCCGGCAACGTAAAACACTAGTCAAACACGCGAAGGACCGGGCGGCGCGGCCCTCGGGCGGGCACACACACGAACACACACACACACACGTAGATGCGGCCGGGCCCTGGACGGCAGCTGGCCCCCGGCAGCTTGCATGCTTGCTTGCACACTCTAATAAAAATCGTCGCATTGGCACGCCGAGCGGGAGGCCGGGGGGCTGCCAACGCCGCGGCAAAAAGAACTAACATTTGCATATCAGTTTGGGTCGCGGAAGAGGGAAGGGTGGGGGCCGA